GCTCCGGGGTTACCAAAGATGTTGATTTTATAATTAAGTAAATTGACTTCTGTTAAATAGAATGGAAGGAAACTTCACACATCAACAAAATAAATATTTTTATATAAGAAAACGTGTTCTTTTTTAAATATTTCTTGAAAGTAATATAACGAACTTTCCAACAACCCCCTCGTATTTGCGTAGCATCGCTAGGTTGACGTCATAACAACATAGTGTTATTTTCCAAAGAATCTATCTATATTCAGATAGCTTTGTAGGAAAATTGATTTGAGATATTACAAAAATTAAGCTGAATTGAAAAGGGGACATCTTAGACATGTTTCAAAAAAATCTTCATAAGATTTGGGGACAGGGCCGATTTTGGTACATAATGTACCTTCTTCTTTGGAGATAAGGAACAGTTTTCAAACTGAGAAGTTCAATGAAACAATACGAATCAGGAGCAAAGCATACAAGGACCTCTAAAAACATTAGAGGTGGGATCAGGTGACATGGAGGAGTAAGCATCCCCTGCCGACCGATCCCACCCGCCGTGTGCTCCTTGTCATGATCGGAAAAACGGGAAAATCCGTAGACAGTTTAATGTTTAAATAATGGTATAATGGCCAAATAATTAGTATGAAAACTCTCAGTCAGCATTTGACTTCGAGGTTGGATCCTGATATTTAAAGTCTTAAACTTTTTTGTCAAGTATATTTTTAGCGACTTGTGTCGCCTGCTTTGTAGCTTCATTAAAGATGTAACTAAAGTAAATCTAAGAGTTTATTCATGAACTACTAATATTATAGTTTACGCATTTGCCTGCAAAGAAAAAAAAACATATCCACGAATAATACGAGACTGAGACAGAATCTCTCAATCAAAGAAAACATAGCTACCCGACCTACCGATGAATAATTAAAATGAAATAATTAGAAATAATTTATTATCAGTTTATTAATACATGTTTCTAACGATTTACTGCAAAACATGAAATGAGGTTATTGTCAGTCTACGCAATCCATTGTGGAATACCGATCCCGATGTATTTTCATAATAAATACGTTTGTGTGGTAACAGAATATCATACATTTATAAAGTACAATATTAGGAGCTCATGAACATGTAAAGGCTAATTATCAAAACCCTGCATCTCAAAATTCAAAAGACATAACTTAAACTGTTCGGGATATTTTTTGCATAGTAGGTCAAAGGTCAAGGTCAAATGGATTGCAACGCTGGTACTTTTCATAGTGTTTTATGACAAACAGTGCACATGCTAAATAGCATAAACTTACTTCTTAAATGTAAAAAATATGCTGTATATTGGCACTAAGAACTAGGTCAAAAGCCCAGGTCAAGGGTCACGAGGCTAGTAACCATGGTAATTTACAAAAGCCATAGTGCCAAGCAATATATATGCAAAATATCAAGTTCATACCTCTTACAGTTCTCCAGATACAATGTGTGACAGACGGACAGACAGACGCCGGGTAAAGTGATCCTTAAGTGTCACTCCGCTCTACAGGCGACACAAAAACATGTTACGAAAATGATGTCATAATTACGATTGCTTGAACTCTTATGAACCTTTGTTTTAAAGTTTTATAGTTTTTACGAGATATTTAGTTTTTCTATTGATGATTTGTTGTTCTTCATGACATCGTTAGACAACGTTGAAATAACGTCAGGTAGTTTTGTGAAAATCTCGGGAACGCATATACTAATGATACAGATAGGACAAAAGTGCAGTAAGCAACTGGTTTTCAAAACTTCCTTGGAGGAGGATGAAAGATATTCCATTGTTTGCTTTAATAATATCACAATAAAATTTTAAAAAGAAATTCTACGAACTTTAGGATTAACAAGTATTTACCACACCACATGTTAATGCTATCTGCAAAGAAGTGAAAGGTAGTATTAAGAAAAATATTTAATTGTAACCTGAGATTTATTTCAAAAATCCCTAGTACCTAGCTTCTCTTATCGGAAGGAGGGGCGGGGAGGAACCACGTTTTTAGCTCACCTGAGCTTAAGCTCAAGTGAGTTTTACTGATCACATTTTGTCCGTACTCCGTCTGTCTGTCTGTCTCTCCGTCTGTAAACTTTTCACATTTTCGACTTCTTCTCCAGAACCACTGGGCCAAATTTAACCAGACTTGCCACAAAGTATCTTTGAGTGAAGAGGGTTTAAGTTTGTTCAAATGAAGGGCCACGCCCTCTTCCAAGGGGAGATAATTAAGAATTGGTGAATATTTGGTGTTATCTTTTAAAAATCTTTTGTGAAACCTTCAATACAAAGTGTAGATTCAAATTTATTTAAATCATGACCCCCGGGGGTAGGGTGGGGCCACAATGGGGGATCAAAGTTTTACATAATAATATATAGGAAAATTCTTTAAAAATCTTCTTCTCAAGAACAACAAAGCCACAATTAGTCATATTGATATGGAATCATCCTCAGGTAGTGTAGATTCAAGTTTGTTGAAATCATGACCCCCAGGGGTAGGGTGGGGCCACAATAGGGGATCAAAGTTTTACATAGGAATATATAGGAAAATTCTTTAAAAATCTTCTTCTCAAGAACAACAAAGCCACAATTAGTCATATTGATATGGAATCATCCTCAGGTAGTGTAGATTCAAGTTTGTTGAAATCATGACCCCCAGGGGTAGGGTGGGGCCACAATAGGGGATCAAAGTTTTACATAGGAATATATAGGAAAATTCTTTAAAAATCTTCTTCTCAAGAACAACAAAGCCACAATTAGTTATATTGATGTGGAATTATTCTCAGGTAGTGTAGAATCAAGTTTGTTGAAATCATGACCCCCGGGGGTAGGGTGGGGTCACAATGGGGGATCGAAGTTTTACATAGTAATAGATAGGAAAATTCTTTAAAAATCTTCTTCTCAAGAACAACAAAGCCACAGTTAGTCATATTGATATTGAATTATTCTCAGGTAGTGTAGATTCAAGTTTGTTGAAATCATGACCCCCGGGGATAGGGTGGGGCCACAATGGGGGATCGAAGTTTTACATAGTAATAGATAGGAAAATTCTTTAAAAATCTTCTTCTCAAGAACAACAAAGCCACAGTTAGTCATATTGATATTGAATTATTCTCAGGTAGTGTAGATTCAAGTTTGTTGAAATCATGACCTCCGGGGGAAAGGTGGAGCCTCAATGAGGATCAAGGTTTTACATAGGAATATACAGAAAAAATCTTTTCAAGAACAGGAAAGCCGTGATTAGTCACATTGATATTGAAGCATCCCCAAGTATTGTAGATTCAAGTTTGTTCAAGGCATCCTCCAGTAGTAGGGTGGGGCCATAATGGGGGATCAAAGTTTAACAAAAGAATATATATATAGGAAATATCTTTAAAAATCTTCCTCTCAAGAACAACCAAGCCATGATTAGTCATATTGATATGGAAGCATCCTCAGGTAGTTTAGATTCAAGTTTGTTCAAATCATGACCCCCCACCCCCACCCCCCGGGTAGGGTGGCAGACATCTTTAAAATTCCATTTTCAAGAACAGCAAAACTATGATTAGTTTTATGAATATAAAAGCATCCTCAGAAAGTTTAGATTCAATTTCATTCAAACATGGCGCCTGGGGGTAGGGTATACGTATGCCTAGAACAGGCGATCAAAGCTTTACATATGAATATATACATGTAGGAGAAAACATCTGCTGATTAAGAACAGCAGGACCAAATTGACTCAGGTGAGCGTTGTGGCTCATGGGCCTCTTGTTCTTTCTTTTTTTTTTTTGCCTTATCAAGAGTACTTTTGTTTCTTGTTTAACGTCCCTCTCGAGAATTTTTCACTTATATGGAGACGCCACCACTTGCCGGTGGAGGGCTTCAAATTTATACCTATATTCAGCACTCAGGACCATTGAGCAGTGAGGGATTTATTTTGTGCAAACACCTAGGGACCACGGGACCTCGATTTATACGGTCTCATCCGAAGGACCGATCGCCACGTCCCGCATTGGATTAACGTAAGGATCAACTCCTTACTCCGCGACTCTAGAGCAGACGCTCTAACCACTGCGCCCATCAAGAGTTCTTGGCAAAAGCACAAACACACAGAGACAAATAAAATAAATGAATAGGAAAAAAATATATCACTTAAACCTTTATCTTATTTCACTAGATGTAATCATGGCAATAAATGTAGACCTATTTTACATAAAACTGTTTAAATAATATTTACCATTAAACAAACCATGCAAGTTAATGCGCATAAATTAGTGTGTGACCTTTTTGTACAAAAAGGGTATATTTTGGGTTTTAATAATCTAAATAGGTGATGAAATAATTTCTTGTATCAAACTTAAGACTTGCTGCGCTGATCGGTTGGAAGTACCATGTAGTTTAAAATAATTAAAGAAAGTGTTGGGGCCAGTGATGTAAATTTTGAGATATTTGTCAAAATATTCGATTATTGTCAGGCAAAAAAATGACTGTTCATTTTATCTTGACCACTTCTGAAGGTTCTGCTCCCGATTTGTATTGTTTCCAGGGACTTTTGTTCGTTATCTCCACATTCTTCAATATTCATTTCTTGGCCAAGCCTGAAGAGTGAATTTGTAAAATTTGTTCTAAAAATATTGAAACCTAATATATTAACATTCCTAGCATATGGTAACGGGAAAATGTCACTTCGTAAAAATATGTAGGGCTAAAGTTCCCAGATAATAAATTTAACAAATGTGTAAATTTGAAGAACGTTCTTTTAAATACTGTCCCACCACAAGATATAGCCCCCCCCCCCCCGGTAAATCTTGTTTTTCTATGATTTTGTGAGCATTTACATGTATACTGAATGTTGTATAATTTGCATTGTTTAATTTAAATAGGTTATAAAAATTGAATTGTTATAGTTTGGAATCAAAGTCAGAGGTTCTGACTAACTTTTCTGAAAAGCTGACAAGTGACATACCTTAATACATATTTGTATTTATTTCTTTGTACATTCCGTAGTATCAATACACATGAACACTGAATGTCTATTTCAATCTTTTTATTCAAAGCACTACATAACTTGTAACTGTCGTGTTTGAAAATAAAAGCTTTTCACCATTTTGAATCTAGAATAGATCACTAAGATTATTTGATATCACAAAAAATAAAGACTTGATGTTTCAGGGTGACACGAATGCCCCCGCTGACATGCAAATTTTGAATACGTGAAAGACCAAGAATGTGAAAATAAGAATAGATGGAAATGGCACAAAAATAAAATATACTGCTGCTTTTGTTTTCTGGAATAAGGTGTCTATACCACAACATACTTAAGATGCATGAAATTGTAATTACTTACAAGCAAAATAATTAAAAGTCCAAAATCGGTGAATAATTAGAAATTTAAAGGATCATAGCTTTCGTTAAAATGAGACAATTAACATGAAACTTGCATTCGATCTGCAAGTCATCAATACAAAGAGACAAACCATAGTTCATTATCTACAAACATAGCCAACAAAATGTGAAAAAAACAGTTAATGATCAGGAATTTTGAAAGTCAGTATTATAACTCAATCATTACAACATTACATATACCAAATATCAGCTCTATATCAAAAGAACAGAAAAAAGTCCTGAAAGCAGTGAATTATTGGTAATTTTCAAATTCTAATGGTCATAATTTTCGTAAAAATGGGTCAATTAAAACGAAACTCAAACTTATTCTGTAAGCCAACCATATCAAGAGACATACCAAAATTTAACTCATTATCTTCAAGCAGAGTAAAGAAAGTTCAGAACACAGTGAATTACAAGATATTTCCAAAGGCCATAACTTTCGTAAAAAAAATCAATTAACACGAAACTCATACTTGATCTGAAAGTCAGCAATATCAAATAACAATAAAAATCAGCTCATAAGCAAAAAAAAAGTCCGGAAAACAGTTTGATTGTTAGAAATTTTTAAAGTCTAAGGGTCATAATTTTATAAAAATAAATCGATTTAGAAGAAACTCGAACTTGATCTGTGTTTCATCAATATGAAGTAACTTACCAAAAATCAGCTTATCATCTACAAGCACAGCAAAATAATTCCGGAAAACAGTGATTTTTTAAAAAGAAATTCTCAAAGTCTAAGAGCTTTAGATGGATCTTAAAGAGCCACTTTAGTTAAAATTAGACGAAACTCGAGCTTGATCTGTAGGTCATCAATATTAAGTTACATACAAAAGATCAGCTCATTATCTACAATCATAGCCCAAAAAGTCCGGAAAACTTATTTTAACTGACGAATGGGGTAACACTACATGCCCAGGCCATTTCACGGCGGGGGCATAAAAAATGAATTATACTTGACTTAAGAATTTTAAGGTCTGACGACACGTTCTTCAAATACATCTGTTTTGTTTCTCTTCGTAATGTATAAGAATATTCATAATATTTACATTATCTTATGATTTCCAAACTTTTTTAAAAATGTTTTAGAAATGAATACCATACAAATTATAATATTGACAATTCAAATTATTTCTAATAGGATTATATAGGAAACACCACTCTCTGGTATCATGCACAAATGCCTGGTAAGGTACCTCAATTTTTTGTGAGAAAACTTGTTAAAGTAGCAATACTTCAATGACAAATTCTCAGGAAAAATTCAATATAATTGAGGAACGTGTCGTCTGACCTTGAATAACAAATATAATTAGTATAGTTCTTTTTCGCTCTCGGGGTAAAACACCATCTCTTCGCATGGATCATCAGGTGGTAAGGTTTTTTTTCTTGATTTAGGTCTACAGTTTGGTTGTGGGCAGTCTGTGACTTTGAAAGATTTGTTCATACAAATAAGTATTTCCGAAATCCATGTCTTATTCTGCAATAGTAAAATACAAAATGAAATAAAAATTATCGTTGTATCATGAATAACATCTGAAATAGAAGTCCTGACCTCAAAACTATAAATTATGGCGAAACAGTTTAAAATTTCAAATTAGTATAACTTCTGAAATAATTTGAAATGAAATGGTCTTGGGACCAGTTCATAGTTTGCCCACCTCTACATTTCCACACAGAACGAGTGGCTGGCCCCCTGTACCCCTCTTCAAAGCACCTTCCACCGCAGTCAGCTAAGAGGTAAATATTGAATTCTAGTGCATTTGTAGATTGTGAAAAGACCATTTTAATCGATTTGATGTTTGCCACATGTAAACTTTGTATTATACATGCAAGGGGTAATATACAATGTTCAGGTGTAATTTAAATCGTCTTATTATATATTTGTTAAATGATACTGGATTTTTGCATCCCTGATATGAACACAGACACGCGCCCTATATTACACAACCTGTAGCAGCACCCTTTATTTCACCCTTCATTACACCTTTCCGGAACATCTCCCTATTTTTCATTCGGAGAACTTCGGATCTTTTTCTATTGTTTATGAAGTTTATTTAAATTGTAAATTTTGATCAGATATTTTGTTATTCAAAAGTATTATTTGTTTAATTCATATTTATTTCATTTCTTATCGCTGTATGCATCCTTTGGAAAAAATAATGAGAAAGGAAACTCAACCCCCCCCCCCCCCAAAAAAAAAAGAAAATATTCAATTATTAAAAATTAATTTACATGTTTATGCATGATTTTTGACACTATTTCCCCCTCCCCCCCCCCCCCCCCCACAAAAAAAAGAGAAAATATTCAATTATTAAAAATTAATTTACATGTTTATGTATGATTTTTGACACTATTTTCAAATATATAATCAAAACAACAATGCGTGACAAAATCTGTATCACATCCCATATCAACCCTCGACAAATATCAGCCCTCTGGCCTTCGGCCCTCGGGCTCATAATGGAGTTTTAGGTTGATGTGGGGTGTGATACAGATTTTGCCATGTATTATTCTCTATTTATTTTAAAGGGTGTTTTACAAATACTTATTAATAAACACACCGATTCCGCACAGTGTGATACGGGTAACATCACAATACTAGTACCGTAAATTAACGACAAGTCCGAAAACATATCACTTATCAAACCGAAAAAAAGTTTTAAAAGTAAATTAATTTCATTTAATTTAAATATATTACATTGTAACTATTACAATTCATGTAACGCGTAGACATGTAGAAAGACAGAGGAACACCTTATTAGTAGATTAAAAAAAAAATAAACCTCTATCTTTTAAAGGTTGCTTTGTGTAAAGTTTGATTAAATATCCCGAAAGGAGGTGTCCGGAATCTGATACCTGTTTGTTTCGCATGCAGGGAAGGTTCAATTGTCTATAGTCATACAATACCTCGTACGATTTTCCAGGACTGATACCAGCTGATGATAATATACTGTCAAAAACAAACATATCATACAGTGTTAAAAGAAGACTAACACAAAAAGAATATGAGACAATGTTCAATATATTTCAGTTCGCATCAACTCATTTTCAATCTGAACCATTTACTCACAAGAAAAACATAATTTAAAAAAAAAAAAATAAATAAAGGATTTTTTCACCTTCAGTACGTATTCATTCCTGACTCATTACAAAACATTTTAAATACATTGTGGATATTGGGATCTCTAGGATATTTTAAATCTTACCTGCCAACATCATTAATCAAGCGAAGGTCAAGAGTTTTGTTAAAATACTTTAGTTCAGTTCCGGTGTCTTTCACGATTGTTGCACATCTACCATGGGCTTCCCATTCGTGTGCCCTTAAGGTGAAAAAAAAAAGCAAAATATTGAAGAGTTCGATTCTTTAAATTTAGGGCCCTTCTCTTGAGAACTTTCTGTTAATCTTATTATTGTTTTCTAACCAATCCCCCCCCCCCAAAAAAAAAATATAAAAAAAATACTTTTATATATTTACAGAAAGCTTCAAACGTGAAGCATGTGATCGTTCGAGAAGAAAAAAGAATTATACTTTTGATTTATGTTAACATTTTGTTTCAATGGTACAATTTTAATGAACTTCTTGGGAAACATCCAATTTGTAAACTTCCCATTGCCATTTATTTTATTAATCCAATCTTGATTTAATAAACCTGTCAAAAATAAATCGGTGAACAGAACTGCTCTCAAGCAACACATAGAACAAAAGGTTAGTATATTAATCTATTCAGCAATTTCCTTTTAATATTGATATACTATATCAATGTTATCATAATAAGTGTAATAAACACTAACCAGAAATCATACTGAGGTCTCTTAGGCAGCTGATTTGGCCAGTATTTGTTCAGTTGGTCTAATAAATCCTTGAGTGAAAAAGGTAATATATACAATTATAGAAGACATTGATTTGATGAACTTCTTTATGTTTAAATACACATTTTTGACGCCTTCCAAAAACTTCAATTTTGTTAAAGAATTTGAAACGCTCTAGCAACATATGTCTTGATATTATTTTGAAAATTAAAAAAAAAACTAAGAGCCTTAAATCTGTGTCCCAGCCCCTTTAAAGGATTATTAAATAATATTAATATTACATGCTTTCAGTTGTTTATTAATGTTACTGTTCAGACGCGTTTTTATCTTTCATAGGAATTTCAGGGTCAGATCAATACATATGAGCCGTCCCATGCGAAAAGGGCCCTTATGTATTTTGACGTCATAATGAGAAAAACTCTGGTAAAGATAACGTCATAAAATGCAAGTTGCGTATGTTATATATTTTTCCAACATTTTTACCTTAGCGCTATCAACTTATTTTCATTGTTGTTTATATCATCAAGAGCCAATAAAATATCAGGGAAAAAAAAAGAAAATATGAATTTTTAGAGCTAAGTTCCATATAAATGGACATTTCCAATATTGAATATTAAATTTTGCTGATATAATTCGGTGCTAGTTTTTTTTATCCGAAGGCGATCGTACATGCACATAATTGATATATACCTCTACATCCTTTTTAACACAACTTCATATTAACCGAAGTGAAATACTTTACAATAAATAAAAAGAAAAATCTTGAACCGTTCCCAGCATATAGGTATATATTTGTTCACCTCTACATGCAGCAAATGACGAAGTTTGAAAAGGTTGATTCTCCGTAAAGCATAAATTTAATGAAGAAAACATCTTTTTTTTTTTTTTTTTTTTTAAACAATATTTTCTTTGTGTTTATAAACGCGATAAATGACGATTTGCATTCGTCGCGGTCATTTACGGGTCAATGTGTTTGTTGTCTCAGTCAGGTATAGAACCGTCCGTTTTACTGTTTATGGAGACAGCCTAGCTTCTGGTTGAACGAGACTTGAAATTTGAGAATAAAATCTAGTATAATTTGTTAAAGTCTTGGACCAGCCGTAAAAAAAAAAAAAAAAAAAAAAAAAAAGAGAAAAAAGTAAATGCTGCAACGAAAAAAAAAATTGATCAGGATTTTTTTTTAAATGCATTAATATGGGAAGATTTGACTTTGCTACAAAAAAAGGGGGGTGGGGTTGTTAGAGGTGGGTGCAATTAGCCATTCAGTGAACATCTTTATTCTATATCAATCAATTACCATTGAAAAATTATGTATGGACCCCCCCCCCCCTCTAATACAACATACCTTTATTTAATTCGTAGTAAATAATGCTTTATTACATGTATGTATAAAACCCCCAGATTACGGGGAAATTAAATCTGAAAGATTGAATACAGATTTATTTCCCTGTAATATATTGCATCTGATTATAATTCTAATTTCTTAGTACAAAGATGAAGTGTTTGTCTGCATTAAAGGTTATGAATATAAATACCGTCATTTTTGTGTAGGAAGGTTTGCAATAAGTTCAGTTTAATCTTTGAATTGTTTTAAAATGGAAAGAATGACTGCTTATTTTTTTAAATGAATCATATTTGGCCATTTCTTTAGGCATGTACGTAACAACGTTTTTCGGGGAAAAAGGGGAGGGGGGCTTAAAATGACAAGTCAAAATAAACAAAAAATCAAAAAACAAAACAAAGAAAGAAAAAAATGTATTTCGGTAAGGGGTTAATCCCTTTTCGACAAAAGAAAATTGAGCTAAAATGGCAGTGCTCAGCAATGCCGGCGATACCACCAGAGGTTACTCAGTAGATAGATACAAAAATATCCAATGCGTACAAAATCAGACCTAAGGTCAAGGGGCGTTTCATAGATACTAGTACATGTCAAAATTTTATGAGCCTGAAACGACAGGTTGTTAGTGTCAGCGAAGAAAATTTGATTTCTTTTTAAATCTGAGATAAATACTTCTATCAACGTGCAAAATTGACTCTTGAAATAAATCTTAGTTTGAATATTATTTAAAAACATACATTCTTTTTATCAATTTAATTACAAATCTTTATTTATTCCATGACTACAAATTACTGAATTATTAGTGACACTTTCTGGATAACGGTTGTGAACTATAAAGGGACAGAGTGTTAATTGCCCCCCCCCCCCCCCGTTTCCTACGGCCATGCAGAGGCCCGACGCATTACTGGCCACTTCCGTCTGTGTCCCCGCATATATTTCTTAAATGTTAAAATTGTTGTCCATTGATAAAAGCTTTAATGAACTTGGAAACTGATTTACTCGTTACTTTAGATTTAAAATACATGTATGTGATTTCGGGAAGAGTCCTAAGAATACGGCACTACTATTTCCGGCCCACAGCGCCACTCATTTAACTGCCAACATTCCCTCTCTCTCGATCAACGACATATCTTATTAGACCCAAACTAAGCGATTATACTTCCACAAAATTTGAGAACCACAAAATGAATGGAAGAATATGTAGGCTTAAGCTTATGATTTTTTTTTCTTCAAACGAAATTTAGCGAAAAAAGGGGGGGGGGTACATGATGAATCAATGTGACATATTTAAAAAAAAAACTTCAAAATATATTCTGAACTTATAATGACCGTATACAGATTTGATGATAATATGAAAATTATATCCTCATCCTCAGTTTTTGTAAGATTACATGTTCACTGCAAGACATACGAATATTGATCTGCTTATAAGTCGGTACAGAGCAAATAGGTGGTGCAAATACTGTGACGGTTTACGACAATATTGCAGGGAATATGGCCAACTTTAAAATAGTGTTTGTATGCCCTCTCGAGCTCCCGACTCAAGACGAAAAAATTGGGTCGGTAGGTAGATGAGAATTTTTTCCCCCGGAAAATTTTAACATCAATATCGTAAGAAACATACATTACCCATGTAAAAGGGGTAAGGGATTGTCTCGGCACGTATTATTGCCTGTGTCAAGATTTACGAATGTAGGACAATTCATACATGTATGTTCAGTATTGTAGGTACATGTACATATTGCCCCCTACCCCTTCCTCAAACTTCATTTAATTTGTCAGAAAACATCCTCAAACTTCATTCTTTCAACTTGTCAGAAAATTTTAACTGGATTGTGTTACTGTAGATCCCCCCCCCCCCTCCCCCTTGCCGATCAATTTTCTTCAAGCTTTCTTTCATAAATTCATCTAGGTCATGAATAAAACAACAAAAATTATATCCTTATGATGAAAAATTATCAAAAACAATGAACTCTATAATTACAAGGAAGACGCAATGTTATCAGTCTTATCTTACGGATTCTTTTAGAAAAAAGATAAAAATATTTTTCACAAACTACAAGTAAATAAAATACAAGTCTATAAAATATCTAAACACATCTTTTATTTGTTTGTTTTTTATTTAATATTTACTTTTCTCTGAACCGTATATCAGAGCAATATTCACGTCTGAAATAACGTAGCGAGTGTATAACGTTATTATTAAAAAAAAAAAAGCACACCGGGTATTTACCGATATAAAACCAATATCTGTGTTTAATTTGAGAAAACTTACATAAATAATTTTTTTATCGGATTTTTTTAAATCATGTGTGCTACAAATGACCAAAATGGACATTTATGTGACATGCAAAAATGTCGACACTCTTAAAATGTACATGTAACTTCTGTCTTATCAGAGTCCAAAACACCTTTTCTTTATAAAATTTTACTAATAACAATGAAACCGTTTCGACAACTGGTGTATAATTTAGATATACTTTAACGAAAACAATTATATCAAATATTGCATGTAGAATAAAAGCAGGGGATTTATGCATACATTTTTCATATATGTTTTAATGTGATAAAGTAAGTTTTTTTTCCAATCAGATACGTATTTCAAATATTTCTGAGAGGGATATAAAAGCGTCAGTTTGAACGTCTTTTTTCAACGTCATTTTACAAGGTAATTTTAACAGTTTCTTAACCTTTGACTCCCTATATCTTAGTAATTATTCTAAATATTTGAATCAAACTTTATATTTGGTTATTTTACACTATAATCTATCATAATCCATTGAAAAGTCAATTTTGAAAATTTTCACCTTAAGGGCCCTTTTCGCATGGGACGGCTCATATAATTTTGGTATGCAAGGTTGCTATGTTATAATGAATATAGCAAAGTAACATTGTTTAGATTTCTTCATATGTTCATTACCTCAGCGAAACAAACTTTAAGAAAGGGCATACTTGAAAGTAGTGTAAAAGCTACTGTCCTCTCATTAAGAGACTGTTATTATGCAGGCTCTGTATACGTAAACATCTTGAAAAGTAAAAGGCTGAAGATTGTTACACCTCCCCTGGCCAATAGCAACCTTAATGTAGTGTATAAAAATACTGACTTCCAAAGTCCCGCCTACCTAAAATAAGATAGGTCTTTTGTCCAAGTGAGTAGGGCGTAGAATCGTGAAGAACTATGGGCCCCGTTTTACAAAAGAACTTGTGACTTAAGTTAAATATGAAAATGGTTACAACATTTTTTGAAAAGAATTCAGAAATACGAGGGTTGTCCGGTAAAAGCGTGGACAAGTTGTCTAGAATGAAAAATAATCATCACTGCGTTCAAAAATTTTCACTCCTCTTGAGTACATTTTTTAATTTATATACATAGCAAATTTCAGAAAGATATATATGTATGCATAAATTAACAAATTATGAGATTTTATGTTATGTTGGGTATTGATTTACCAGACGCACGGATGAGAACGTCAAAGTATCTGAAGCAGTGTCACGTTTCCCTTTGCTAAAAAAAAGTTGGGTAAGACCCTTTTAAATGCGGGAATTTCATTGATGCACATACTTGAGTTTCCCTTTATTTCTCCATTAACATTCGAGAAACAATCTCGCACACACATCGTACCTTCTGGATTTATTAGTAAGTTATGAACGGTACTCTCACTATCATTCAACTAAATAGGCTATCATTACTACATCTAAATCAAATTGAACCACAGGTGTCTGACGTGTGGATAGTGTAACATCCCCCCCCCCCCCCCGTAAGACATTTTATTGGACACTGCTACTTATCTTCTATATCTTATACCAATTTCCGATTTCGTTAAGTTTTAGAGATTAATTGCCCCTCTATAGTATATAATGTAAACAAGCACTATTCATCATTGTTCTTTGATGTGTATGCATTGCAGTTTGGTTTATTGGTTTTGATACTTATATTTCATTGTGCATTTCATTGTGCAAATCATACCAATAATCTGTCAAGCTTAGAATGTCTGCAATGCGAAGATCTTGCAGATCATTATTTGTTACAATTATGAATTGATTTAAATATTGTTTGTTTTAATTAAATGTACTAGCTGTCAGTGACGGATTTCGGGGGGGGGGGGGGGGGGCACCCGGCTCGAGCTTCCTTAAATTGACAGATTTAAGCACAGGCGCCTAAAGTGTGGATCGAAAGCCCCTCCCCCCTTTTTTTAAATAAAAAAATGTAAGAGCTTATAATTTCTCAGAAATATAACATTTCCCCATCGTTCACACATCCATATGTCGTTCTATGCAAGCAGATTGTACCTTTTCTTACGTTCAGAGAATGGCCTTGTACGGTATAATAAAAATACACAAAGTAAGAAACAAAATTTGTAAACAAACGGGGGGTTCCCTGCTTCGAGACATATTTCCAAGGTAATAATAGTGTTACCTATCATAATTTTGCAAACACTCTGTCAAGGAGATGTTCTTCTACTAATCTCTTTAACATAATCCCCATCATTAGTGTTTTATATGTCATAATCGGACGATCTATTAATCGGACACATAAAATTTTCTCCAATGACAGCTTTGAAGGAGGTTTTGGAGTTCGCACATCCGTCTCGCTTTATCTGATTGGTCAAAGATTAAAACTGTATCACTGTTAACGTTTGTTTACAAATTTTGTTTCTTACCTTGTGTATTTTTATTATACCGTACAAGGCCATTCTGTCGCCCGTGTGGCGCAGTGGTTAGAGAGTCTGCTCTAGAGTCGCGAAGTAAGAAGTTGATCCTTACGTTGCGGGTTCGAATCCCACTGTGCGACGTGGAGACCGGTCCTTCGGATGAGACCGTATAAACCGAGGCCCCGTGTCGCAGTAGGTGCTGGCACGCAAAAGATCCCTCACTGCTCAATGGCCGTAAGTGCCGAGTATAGGACAAAATTTGCAGCTCTCCACCGGCAAGTGGTGGCGTCTCCATATGAGTGAAAAATTCTCGAGAGGGACGTTAAACAACATACAAACAAACAAATAAACAAGGCCATTCTCTAAACGTACGAAAAAGTACAATCTGCTTGCATAGAACGACATATGGATGTGATTGATGGAGAAAATTCACATTTTTGAGAAGTTATAAGCTCTTACATTTTTTTTTTAAATTAAAAATGGGGGGGGGGGGGGGCTATCGATCCACACTTCAGGCGCCTGTGATTGAACTGCTCTCCGGTGCGCCGTAACGTCATCAAACGTCGCCATTTTTCGTGTGTTGTGTTTACCACTTTCCCATTTCAAATGCTCGGGAAACTGCCAAAAATAAGCAAATGCCTTGAATAAAATTTTCCAAAAGACGATATAATGGACAGTGGAATAAAAAATAATATTTACCCCAATCTTATCTATTTGATACTTTTATTTCGAAATAATACTCGTGTATTCCCTAATGAAACCCTTTTTTATCATGCGCCGTAGGGCCGTACCCTGTGTACATCCAAGAATAACAAAATCTTTATTTTTGTCTATATTTTATAAAAAAATTAAGATGCACTTAAATATGATAAATAAACTTTTGCTGAAATTTCAGCTTAGTGCGCCCATTATTTTTCGATAAAAACTCTTTGTCCACGATTTTATCGGACAATCCTCGTATATACATATATTTAAGCAGCCAATTTGTAATAGAATCATAATTGAGCGCGATTTTACAATCACCTCAAATATTTAGCCTTAGTCAAAATGTCAACCTATCCCATGAGATAAGGCAACCTATACCATGAGACGAGGAAATAATTTCCTTAATCGGAGAGAGACCATTAAGACAAGACAAGGGAAGGGTCGACCCCATTCAAGCTTATGCACTCCCAAAACAAGTTGGAACAAGCAAATTCAAAGAATTCTGGTCCACCGCTTTCGGTGTCTTATTGGTTGGGATAGAATTATTTATGGCATATTGTAACTGTCTTGTCTGTCCGTCATTCAAAATAGATAATTTTTTTTTATTTAATGAAAGTTACGGCAAAGATGAAAGTTTCTGTATTAAGAAATAAGTAATGCCGATTTGAAATCTTAAAAATAATCTTCTGTCATTCAAAAGTTCTCAGCAATGCTACAATATTTGAAAATAAGGTCAAACTTCAAGTCACTGGGTCCAAAATCATAGCATGTTTAATTTGGAAACGTCTTGTCACATGTCAAATATGAACGCCCCACCTTCTCTCAATCAAAAGTTATTAGCAATGCTAAAATTTTGAAAATCGTGTCAAATTTCAAGAAAATGTGTTTAAAAATCAGTACAGTTGGAAACATCTTGTCACAGGTAATGTCAAATTTACGAATCTTCCCTCCTTCAAAAGTTAGCAGCAAATGAGCAATGATACAATTTTGAAAATTAGGACAAACTTCAAGGTCAAGGGGTTAAAAATCAAATCACATACGGATATGTTTTGTCACAGGTAATGCAGGTGTTAAATATGAATCTCATATCTTCTCTCATTCACAAGTGATCAGTAGTGTTGAAATTAAAAAAAAGGTCAAGGACATGGGATATAAATCAAAGCACATTTGGTCTTATCATATGCAATGCACAAATCAAATATAAACGCCTATCTTCACTCATTCAAAATTGAAGTTATAACCAAGGTTATTTTTTTAAAAGGAGGCTAAACTTCAAAGTCAAGATCACAGAGTCAAAAATCATAGTACAGTTATGCTTGTCTAATCCGGCCACCACTGGTTCCAAAGAAATTGGCCGGATTAGACAACATTCCGGATTATAGACAACATTTTAAACAATGGAAATGGAAAGGGACTTGGTGTTTACATCGTATTACGCAAGATTTCAGAATACACAACATCCGGATTAGACAAGTTTTAATGTACTAGCATATCTGAAAGTCCTTGCCACAGATAAAAGTGAAATATAAACCCCTAATCTTTTCCCATTCAAAAGATATGACCAAGGTTAAAGTTTTTGTGAGAGATAGCTGTATAGACTGACAGACGAATAAGGTTTAATATCCCTTGCTTTTGCAAAAAAACGGGGGACAATTACTTGTATAGGGACCGGGTCTTTCGATGATGTTTAAAGTGGTCTAGACACGTGGGGAAAATTAAGGTTGCATGCAACTTCAGCTTTACATTAAGAAAAGTATTCATTTATTTATAATACAATATACTGACAACAAATGTTAATGCAGGCATACTGTTACGTTTACCTTTTTGGAACAATTAAATATTGCAAAGTAAAATTTTATCGCCCGATTTTTCCAATTAATATATTTTGCCGTGTAAGCTATGTTTTGTCCTAGGTTAACTTCGGTAGCAAGCCTGCAGATGAACATGTTTTAGTCCATAATCTCCGAAGACAAAAATGTGGCCGGAGAGGTCCAGTGCCAAATAAATGCTCACGAGAGTATGAACAGTGATTCCAAGGTGCCGATATGTTTGGAAGGCGAGGAAAACATATACGAACCTTTATTTCATCTTTGTTGAATGGGTGAGATATGCTGCAATTTCGTGGAGCACAATCACCATTACTGTAACCAGGCCTGAATTGATATTATGCATAACTGTAACATACATGTAATCAGAAAAAAATACTTTATTCATATGTTTCTTCAAATAGTCACGACAAGAGAGTACTATTGCCCCTGTATCTATGTTCATATATCTTGTTTCTCGCTTGTTTTATTCTTTGCTCTGAACACCACCCTTTTGTTATAAGACCGAAACGCACTTGTCTTTCACAGTAAAATATCTGTGCTCCCTAGCCAACTGCAAGCATTTCTGTCTGAAACTTTGGGAAAGCTGATTTATTTACAGACTTGAAATTCTTTTTACCGCCTTCTGATATAGTTGAACAGAGGATTTGTTCTAGGCCTTTCTCTCAATATTGCATCTTTTCTATTTCATTGTGTGTCGTTGATCTTCAAATTCCAGCCTTTAAATAGTTTGTTCCCTTTAATCTCTCTCTGCGGTTTAAATTTCATTCACTTAATGTTCTATCTTTTACTGTTTTTTCGCTTGTATAGTTTCATCATTGAAAATCTTGTTTGATATTTTACAACTAATAAGCTAGGGCTTTCTCCTTTTTTGGACATTTTGCAATGCAAGGATCTGTTGAGATGCTTTGAAATTGATTTATAATCACTTTAATATGGTGTCCGGATAGGGCCATTTGCAAAAGCTCGACAGCGCGTTCAGAAAAACACGACTGTACCAGTTACTGGTGGTCCAGAATCCTTTTTTGATCACCTACTTTGGTTTTTGATTTTATAAAAAGATGTCCAAATATATAAATATAAAATGTATTGTCGATTAGAAAATGTTGATGAAACAGCTGAAGGAATATTACTTAATTTAAAATCTTGTATTTTAAATTATTCTGAAATTTTACATGCTGTGGGAAATACAAATTATTCCTTATTTTTCAAAAAATTATTAAGAAAAATGTAGATGTTTATGTCTTTGAGGGGGACCAGGCCCTCGGGACGTACATGAGAAGGGAGGTAAAATTAGAGACTCTGAGATGGTGATAGATTTACCTCCCTTCTATATAACGTAAATATATATTGTTTACTTATGTAATGATTTTCCTGACACCTATACAGTATTTGTTCGTTTAAAATTGTATAATATTTATTACTTTGTTTGCACATATTATCTACGCATTCTACGAAATGCTAATTTCAAATCAAGAAAATTTAACATGTACATGTAATTACAATGTTATACTTGTAATGGAGCTTAGTCAGGGCCCCATCCCTGGCAGCTGCCAACTTATTAGTATATATATCAAAAATTGTTAAATAAGTAGGATCTGGGAAATAAATTTGGAGGGAAAAAAAAGGATGTCCAAAGTCCTAAATTGTATTTTTAAAGAATGTTAAATGTAAAATTAAAAAATCTAAATGTAACCTTTATTATGAAAAATCTCAATGTGCTGACAAAGCTATGGAGCGTTCAAAAACACGTGTTGCCAGCATGTACATGTATATACTCCATGATAGCAACAAAAGAAGTCTACATGGTATTTGCTTGTTGAGTCATATGAATATAATTTAAGGGATATAATTTCAGTTTATGAAAGGGTTTTAATAATGTAGTAGTACAAGATCAAAACTTGCATGTTTACTCTCGTGTGCACATATACTTACTGTCTAGTTTTTTTTTTTTTTTTTGTCAACGACAGATTGAAATATACCTTATAATTACTACTACTAATATATCATTCATCTACTGTAATTTTTTTTAAATGTTAATTATTCAAGCATGATTATAATTTAATGTTTATTGTTCAAGCATGATTATTCCTATATATAGACAAAAAATAAGATTCCTTTTTTTCTTCAAATTTATTTCCCAGACCTATAACATTAAAGATAATATACATGTATAGGGCAGCTACTAGGGATTGGGCCCTGACTAAGCTCCCTCTATAACAAAAATAATTATACAACACGATTTTAATACGATTTCTTGGTGCATTTTCCTCATGTAAGACGACTATTGCTGACGATGAACGGATTCCAATGTATTTTTGAGTATTACAGAACACTCATCTTAACTTACATGAATATACGCTAGTCCAAAAGTTACTTTTAAACACATTATTAGTATAACTTCAGTCTGCTTATTTTAACTTGCTTTTCTTGTATATATGATGGGTATAACCTAAAACATCGGCGTGATACTTCACAGATTGATACAACACATAAATTTAATCATAGGTTGAACTGACCCTCCATGAGATATATCATTAAAGTTTCATGATGTGATTTAAAGTCTTTTTTGGCTTTTTTTGTGAAAGTACATTCGGCCAAGTTGGATGGATAGATACTGGACAGTGATATCTTTGTCTCTGTCGTGAAAAAACGATGAATCTAAAATAAACTTACTGATACTGTTTTTGAAGACGTACAAGTAACTACGAATAAAACCAAACAGTGCATAGTAAAGTTATCATGGGGACTTTCTTTTGATCTTTTGACATTTTAACAATTTGAGCAATGTTTTGGCTAATGAAGACTAAGAAGCGGTGAAAAAATTAAAGCAAATGCGAATATGCAAATAAAATAGCAAATACAATTGACAGAAACTGTTGGTGAAGAACAATACAGCTGTTCGATGTGGAAAACTTTTTGTGGCAAAGTCAAATATATTAATTGTATACTTTCAAATAGACCCACAGCTTTAATTTTTTTCCGTAATAATAATAATACAAAAAAACAGCAGTAATCATTTTCTTTTTTGGTGCTAATAATGAAAAACATTTGTCACTGTTATTCATTGTAATGAAACATGTAATTTGGCGTTATATTTGTCAACTTACCAAAGCCCATGGATTTCCCATATCTTTGCAGGAACAACACACTTCTTGTTCTATTAAAGAAATTTTATGATAATCACGATATTCTTTCATACTTGATACAGAGTAAAGCTTTTAACCCCACCCCCCTGCTTCCCCAGGCAAATAAGACTGAGACTATTGGTGTATTCTTATATTTTATCTTGTACATGTACATACTTCATACCTGTCGCCCGCGTGGCGCAGTGGTTAGAGCGTCTGCTCTAGAGTCGCGAAGTAAGGAGTTGATCCTTACGTCGCGGGTTCGAATCCCACTGTGGGACGTGGAGACCGGTCCTTCGGACGAGACCGTATAAACCGAGGCCCCGTGTCGCAGTAGGTGCTGGCACGAAAAAGATCCCTCACTGCTCAATGGCCGTAAGTGCCGAGTAAAAGACAAAATTTGCAGCTCTCCACCGGCAAGTGGTGGCGTCTCCACATGAGTGAAAAATTCTCGAGAGGGATGTTAAACAACATCCAAACAAACATACTTCATACCTACCTGTAAATAAGTGGTTAAATAATATTTTAAGTTATCCGTAAGTTTTGCAACTTTTTTAAGATGTTTTATATTTGAAATACAGCTGTTATTAGTTAGAATCTCATCGTAAAGAAAAATTGTTAGGAAATATAGCAGATTAAGTGATTGTGTATATTCAATTTCTAAGTAAAGATTTCTTGACACCAAACAAAAGATAGATGGGAAAAAGTTTATACTTACAGCCAAATTACAAAATTTACACATCGTGACTGGCCATGTTAACGTTAATACAAAAGAATCCCATTCCTTCTCCCCAGTGTACACTCTGAAAGAAATTCAATATATTATTTTAGTAAAATATGGGAGAAAAAAATGAAATAAGAAAAAAATAATATGACTTTTAAAAGGCATACGTCGAAATGATGCCAAATATACAAATACACTGAGCAATTAGTTTCTTCATCTTCATTTTGACTGTTCAGGGAATGAACAACATGAAGTAAATAAATCAAGCATATGACATTAAAACTTCCTCGACACAAGGAAATACATATAGCCTTTCAATGCCAATCATATGTTAAAGTACGTCCTTTAATACGGAAAATAATTGGAGAACATTAAAGTTTTCTGTATATGCCAATATCGTAAAAATATTTCTGTTTTCAGGAAGTGGGAAATTGTGGGACATTATTGACGGTGTATCTTTGTGATAACATTATCTGTTGTACAGTTGGTTTGGTCGAGATTGCTTAATGAGGTCCAGTTAAGAGTACATATAAACGCTGTACACTGAGTTCTAATTCTATGGTAGTTTCATATAGTTAGAGTGATCTGCCCATAAATATTTGATAGCGTAATGATTTGATGTTATCTTGACTAAGAAATTGAGCGGTCACGGTAGCCTAGTTAAATGGCGTCTGCTCGGTGATCAGGAGGTCCGGGTTCGATTCCCGTTCGACGCACTACGTCAAACCTAAGACGTAAATGTAGGTAGTGACTGCTTTTTTGCTAAGTACCCGACACTAGGAGTGGAAGTCACGGGTCTTTCGGTCACAGTAGCTCAGTCGATAAAGCGCTCGCTCCGTGATCGGAAGGTCGTGTGTTCGAATCACGGCCGCGACTGACGAAGTCGATAAAAAATAGGTAGCAACTGTTCCTTGGCCAAGCGCTCGGCACTTTGAAGTGAAAGTTGCGAGTCCTTCGTACGAAACCTTAAAAACCACGGCCCCATGTCACGGTAGGCGTTGGCAATATAAAGAACTCTCAATGCTCAATGGCCCTGAATGCCGAGTAATGGTCTAAATTTGAAGCCCTTCACCGGTACATGGTGACGTCTCTATTTGAGTGAAAAAGTTCTCGAACGGGACGTAAAACAACATACAATCAATCGGACGAGACCTTAGTAAAAGAGGTCCCGTGTCACTGCTGGCGTTAACACAGGAAAGAGACCTGACTGCTAAAATGTCCTGTGCCGACTATAAGGTCTAAATTTGAAGCCCTTCACCGATACATTGTATACAGTGACGTCTCTATGCGAGTGCCAAAGTCTCGAATGGGACGTAAAACAACAATCTATCCATCGACTAAGAATTTAAAAATAATACAATGTATTTTATAAAAGAAAAACATGCTAAATTTTGTAGTCACCTATAGAACAAGGTAATACCGACAATTGTTTACGAGTCGCCTTACATATTGGAGTAGAGAAAACTAGAATTCTACGTTTATAGTCCTTATTTAATCTATACAAAGTTGACGCAAACAGTTCATAACACTACATATTCAGGCCGTATTCACCTGAGGGTCGAAGCGCATGCAGTGGCACTGTGACGTCACAACAAATCAAACATCCGTTGTAAATAATGATTGAGCCAGCTGTTTTATGAGTCCGCAATATATGACATTTTCCAGGCGTTTTTCACGATTTTTATATTGACGTGCCAGGAAAACGTCCGAACCGGCGCCATATGAAAAGTGAAAATTTCGCCGCCCTAACTGTACTCGATTTTCGATACTTGCAAATTTAATTTAATGTCAGACTCACATCTTATCAATAGCAAAACGCTACTAGTTCTCACCAGTATCGCTTAAAAGAAAATATTACAGTAACTCCACATTTCGATGCAGGTCTCAAGAGACTTCAAAATGCACAAAATCTAAACAAACCTCGATAGTTTGATAAAATGTTTTCACCAGACACGTTACATTATAAAGGAACAATAAAGGCGATATTGGTAAGTGCTATTAGTTACATAGTTTTGTAGTTAACTCTTAAATTGTCAACAGACACTCGGCAAACCTCGTGAACTCGAGTTGTTCGAACGTTACAAAAGAACGATAACTCCGTATCGACCATGTATTGATTTTCAATCGACTAGGTATAAGTAATACACCCCCTTCACGTGACAGACTTCAACGAATCGTAAGCTAGGATTTCATCGGAAAATCAACAGAGGTGGGTTAATAGAAGCATTTTAGTGTTGGTTAGATATGAGTTAGACATTCGACCCAAGAATGCCGACTCCTGTTGGAGGCGGTGAATTTCCACTTTTCATAATGGCGCTGGTTCTGGCGTTTTCCTTGCACGTCAAATATTAAATTCGTGGAAAAGTCAGATATTTCGGATTAGCTGTTTATCTGAGCCGGAAAAATATTAGGCAAGCTAATCGCAGGATTATTTTTCGAACATTTCGATGTCTTACAGCGAAAGGAAAACACAGAGATCATAATTATCTTGTAATATGGTCATTTATTTCTTTATTTTTTCTAGAAAATTTTGTTAATGAAAAGATGTGCCGTCATGCAGTCTTCAATGTCTTATTACCGGTCACGGTAGCCTACTAGTGGTAGGTCGCTCGTATCGTGATCAGGAAGGAAAAGACGTAAACATAGGTAGTGACTGTTACTTCGTCAAGTGCCGAAGCATGCTCTTGCGTATCGATTCAATTTGGATACATAAACGCTATATGCAGGTGATGCTGAATATTTCTATACAAGTAAGGAAAGTTGACGATGGAGGAAAAGCGGAAGTAATCCAGTTTGTCATACCGTTAAGTAACAAAATGTATTAGTTTGCCGTTATCGTCTAAAGTCAGTGAAACATCCAAATATTAAAACAGTTGTGACAGACTGTGTACATGTAGTGTCTTTCATTTCGAATTTATTGGGATATATCAGTCGACATATGAATGAAAGTAACTATTGTTAATTAATAAAATGTCAATATTTCTAATTTTCGCGTTCAAGGCCACAGCAAGTTTTCTTCTAAGTAGAAGATTGTGAATAAATTCTGCTTCATAGGAATGTAAAAAAAGGTTGGCTTATAAAGGAGCACCATTAGTGCCCATCGAAATTCCTACAGATTGTTGGAGAACCTAATATAATTTACCTGCTATGAGGCGCTCTTAATATACTCGTACCGTGTACATCTTTCAGAATTAAGTGCAGTGGTACAGACATGGTGTAAACTCGTTGTACACTTTCCTGCGCAAGTTCGACAGATGATTTTATTAATATAAAGGACTAGAAAATACAATGATTCAAATTGTCTTTTAAAGGAAAGCAATTACATTTAAAAACGACTTTTCAATTATTTTAAATGACTTTTTCAAATATTTACATATCTCACATTTAATACATGACTCATTTATATCTGAACGTAAAATGTTTAAATTACACATTTTATACCAGGTATTCCTTAAGCATCGACTTGGATTTCATGTACCAGAATATGTATGTTTTCAAGTGGAAACCCAACATACACCTGCATATACTAGTACATGTACACCCGTACGTCTCAAAAACCACTTTATTGGTAAAAGTTTTGATACTTATAGATCATTTTAAGGAGGAAGAATTGATATAGGGGACTGATTTTATCTTTTAAGATTGTGTGCGCCATAACTTACACCACACCACATCTCAAAGTGCACTTTATTATGCAACCTTTTTTACACTAGTGTATGGTGCACACCTATAAATTAAACTAAATCAAACATGCCAGCAAATCACTGAAATCTCACCAGAGATAACGTTAACTCATGAACACCGAAAAAATAAAGGTTCCCGGCACATTAGTAAGGTTGTATGATTTAATCTACATGAGTCCTGGGTCATGGCCATAGGATGGTGCATAGTTGATTATGTAGCAAAATGTATCTCCCTCCTTTCCCAACAAATAGAGTTTTGACAAATTTCCCTTTTTATCACGTCAATATTTTCTCTGATCATTTTGGAAATAAATATTTTTTCCTGTGAGGACATGTAAATAAATAATCAGACTGACAAAGTTTGCCCTTTTTCAGAATCAAATGGTCTTCCCCTAGGTTTCAAAGTTGTTTTGTGTAGATTGTAAACATTTTCAGTTTCTCTGAAATGCCCAGGTCAATTTTGGTATAATGATGGATCCATGTTTGCCTATATTAAAAGACCTTGCAAATTCTTTGGTCGCAACTCAAGTGAGTGGAACCTGAATAATAAAAATTCATGCAATCTTGCATGCCTAAAACCAGAAGTCTCTGTCGAGACTGTAGCTCTACTGATTTGTACTTATAACAAAGGAGGAGAAGAGTAGCACGTGGACTTGAAACTTTGCAACAACAATAAATCATAATAATCCTTCTTTTAATCTCTTTTTGTTGCAAGATGAATTGCAATCAGACTAAAACTGTAGAAAGAGTAGCCTTTTAACAGAATTTTAGAGAAATTTTGATTCTAGTTACCATGTCAACATCATTCATCAAAATCAAAAAAAATAAAGACTATTATGTATCTCAGTGTAGTCTACTTGCATGCCATGTTACATTAAAATCTGACCAAACTGTAGGCGAAGTAATATTTTGTTTGTTTGTTGTTTAACATCCCTCTGAAGAATTTTTCACTCATATGGAGACGCCACCACTTGCCGGTGGAGAGCTGCAAATTTTGACCTATGCTAGGCACTCAGGGCCATAGAGCAGTAAGAGATCTTTTTCGTGCCAGCACCTACTGCGACATGGGACCTTGGTTTATACGGTCTCTCTCATCCGAAGGACCGGTCTCCATGTCCAACAGTGGGATTCGAACCCGCAACGTAAGGATCAATTCCTTACTCTGCGACTCTAGAGCAAACGTTCTACTACTGCGCCACGCGGGTGACAAGTAATGTTTTGAAAGTATGTCAAAGAAATTTCAGTTTTTTTGTAACCATGGCAACACTTCACCAAAATCAAAACATAGGTAATCAAAGATTACGAAGCTCACCTCGACGAAGGTTATCTATAAGTAAGGCGAATCTCACATCATATTTTTTCTAGTTAGTGTTCATTCCAAGATCAATATCCATACACGTTTGGTTTAAGAAGGACTTACAGTTACTTTTAAAGTAATCTGCACAGAGACCTGCTCAAAAAACTTTTAACCTGTTTACTAATCAAGCAAATTTTGGTCAGTTCCAACATCCAAAGCAAGTCTAGAAGTTTTCATCCTTATATGCACCACTAATGCAAGTTT